GCGGGGGTCAGCCCGCGGTCCGCGTCTTTTACAATTTAGAAATCGCATTTTTCAATAATCTTTCCATAAAGTGGGTACTAAACAGTGATGCAGCGTTTTCAAAACGCCGCCCGCACTTATAAGCTGTCCCAAACGACCCCTAAATTGAATCGGCTGGGGGCCAAAAAATGGAACCAAAGGCCAGTTCAGCCCTTCCGCGTGCAGTTGGGATGGGCGTGGGAACATTCACATCACTAGTGGTCGGTGAGGTTGCCTTGGTGCTGATAAGGTAGTCGGTAAAGTTTTGTTGACTTGATGGTCTTGCTTTCATGAGAGTGTTGAAGGCCGGCAAGGTCATGCTGGCTTGAGGTGTCATGATGATGTGAAGTTCTCACAAAGTAAGCATATCAAATTCACAATATTTGGGTGAAATCTGAATGTGGCGAAAGTAAAGTGAGAAAGGACGAATCCCTCAAAAAATTAATTTATATTTCCATTTTTCTTCCAACCAAGTAACTAAATTTTAAAAATCTTTAATTTGGTTCACTCTACACTCATGATACTTGCAACGAAACAACCCCATGACATAAGAATGAAAGCAAATACACATAATTCTCGCAAAACATGACGTAACATAATAAATGATATCATATTTTAAATCAAATATTTGGTCGAGTTAACAAGGAATAACAATAAAAATTTCACTAATGGCTGCCTAAGAGGGACCGCTAGCTGTTGTAAGTACCCTTTTGGTTTGTAAGTAATACTGTTCCATCCCGAGACACAATTTTAGGAGATCGACTGTAAAAATCCACACTTTACTGTTAAAATTTGCTTCTAGCTTTTTTAAGGAATTTGACAGCGAGCAACAACACGCTAATATTCAGATTTGTTTCCAACCATATAATTACTATCTAGATTTGCTTCCACAGTATATAATTATTGGTTTCTATAGATGAAGCACAAAAAAGAGTAACCACAGCTTGATTAATCGCCCAGATTCCAATAAGACAAGCCTCTGCTTGCATTAAACCACCCATTTTTTCAACAATTGTTCTAAAAAATATGCATATTTCTTTAATCATTAATTTTGAAAATTGATCATGTTGTTGGACCTCCATATCTACCAAATACATTCAACTTTGCATCATCAAATTTACAAATCAAGATAATGATATGGTTCTGCAACTTTGATGGTTTGATGTATAAATTTTTATGCCAAGTGGTCGACATGCTTTTTAATTGGACATTGGAGACTCTTAATTCTTTAGCTACTGTTTGCAATACCTTACCAAGGCTCAGCTTGGCTAGTTCCATGGGATCACTGTCAGCTTCTATTTAATGTCGCTTAAGTCTAGTTCATTTTCAAATTTTTAATTGGAATAAATTTTATCTCTAGTAATCTAACCTTCTGTTGAGAAAGTTGATTTACTTGCCTTTGTTTCTTGCTTGATTTGATGTTCATAAATGTGCATTTATGATGCTTTGCTATGTTATGCGCACAAACTTTACCACTATCAATACAACTCGCAATTTATGTCGGAATTTATCTAATTTTTTTTCGTTCGGGGATGCACTAAACCCTCTTTTCTCTTCCTTTTTCATGATGTAGGTGTTATTCATGAATTTAGGGGTGTAAGTGAGACTAGCTGACTTCTGAGCCAGCTCGGGCTTGTCTTGATAAGTGGTTCGTGAGTTGAGCATGTTGAGCTAACATGCCAAGCTCAAGCATGCTCCGATTTGACTCGTTATCTCATGAGCAGGCTCGTTAAAATAATACTAATATAATATATACTAAAAATATATTAAAATTCAAGACTTTATTTTTAAATTATTAAAAATTCTTAAAATTTATATATTATCTTTTATATAAAATGATTTTTTTATGTATCTTTTAATTGCTCATTTTATTTGTCATTTTATTATAACATTAGCTTGAATTAATATTTTTTTCTTTCTTTCATAATAAAGAAGCCGGTTCGTGGGCTGGCTCGAACTCAGAGAATTAAGCTCAAGTTCAAGTTTGAACTCAATTAATTAGTCAAGTTCGAGCTCAAGCCGTGGGTGGCTCAAGCTTGACTCAACTCATTTACACCCTTATTCATGATATTTATCTGACATCCGTAAATTTGATATGTTTCTTTTCTCTAGAGGTACTCCGCCTGTATTTTAAGCATAAATTGGAGGAGCTAAATACCATAATTAACATCAGTTATGAAGATGGAATGGGATCTTTGAAGAATGATGGAAATGTTAAGTATGATGCACCAGATGAAATGAACATTGACGGGAACCATTCTGAATCTGCGGTATCTAAGAATTATTCTTTGGTCAAAAGCATTGGAAAAGTTGTTCTTGATCTTAGAAATCTTGGTTTTACAGCTTTGACAGAAGATGCCTATGCTTCTTCTATCATTCAGCTTTTGAAGGTTAGTGTTTATAGTGCATCATCTATTATCTTCTGGGGGGCATTTACATACATAGCACACAATTGTTATGTATTTACATATCTAACAGCTAACCTTTAATATTTACATTCATACCGCCTCAATCTTTCATATCACATAAAGAATAGCACCATTTTAACTTTTAAATAGTGAAATACACCTTCCCTTGCAAGGCTAGGTGGTCTGTATGTAAAAATTGAAGTTTAGATGTTAGATATGTAGATACATAAGAATTAAGTGTATGCAAATCTTCCAATATTTTTTTCTTGTACCTTAACCTCTCTCACGTTCATATAGACATTCATGTGCATATCAGCTGACACTGACCAGAACAAAGCCTGAGAGCTTATAAGTGCGTTTTGCTCCCTGAAACAGGCCAAAGTTCAAAACTTAGCGGTTGATGATTATCGGACCCCTGTTTTGCAGTCTATTAAGGAATGGATACAGGTATGCTTTTATATGATTCTCAATTTAAGCAGTTGTCACTGAAGAAGTAATGTGATTATATTAGTTTTTTTGGTGCATTCACATACATCCCAGTTCTTATGTATTTACATATCTAACACCTAAACTTTGATTTTTTACATTCATAGCACCCAAATCTTTGATATCACATAAAAATACCACTATTTAAACGTTTTAAAAGTGAAATACACCTTCTCATGCATAGGTAAGGTGAAAAATTGAAGTTTAGGTGTAGATGTGTAAATACATAAGATTTGAGTGGTATGGTATGCTTGTAAATCTTCCTAGTTTTTTTTATCCACAATAGGTTTGCTGATGAGCTCTGCATAGTGGAGCAACAGTTGATAATACAAAAGTCTTTTATGTTAGCTCTAGTTTTATGGTTGGTGATTATCTGAGGCCTGAGGCCTGTTTGCTTGCCTATCATTTATCTTTGAAGAGACATAAAATAGTTCATTATTTAGTGTTCTTCTGCTCCATTGGTTAATGTAATGGTAATCTTACTATATTCATTATCGTTAGTTAAAGAAGATTATTATCATTGTTATCTTTTTCCTAGATAACGTATAGTTTCATCACTCCAAAATTTTATTTTATTTTGCCAAAGCTTGGTACTTATTTTCACAAGAAATACACAAATTTTAAATTTCGCTTGATATTGTGATGCACAAAGTTAAGAGACTTTTTTTAAGTGAAAAGATTTGAGTGATTATATCCAGTTTCGCGTTTGTGTAACTTTCAATTATAAGAGCGCAAGAATTAAAAAGTGAATTACACAAGAAATGTGCATGCAATTTCTATATTTTGGGAACTGTCAACCATACGCATATTGTTATGGCTGTCAATTTATTAAGCAGTGTTTTGCAAAGTATGCTTATTATCGTGTGCCATTAAAAAATCATAGTCTTTGTTTGCTCTTTATCGCTTCACTGCAGTTTTAATGGGACACAACAAATACAATCTTCATCATTTTTTATTGTAATTACGCAATTTATATTTTGTTTGGCTTAGTGTTCATCGTGTAATTTTCCAACACATTGCCACAAGTTTACCTAATTTTTGGCTTTTAATGTATTTCTTTTGCTCAAAAGAGGTCTGAATTCTGTATTGATACTAGTGAAATATTTATGGTTTAATCTAACAACATGGTGTACCAATTTGATGAGATTTTTGATTGATTGGTGTGGGCTCCCAAAATTCATGACCGCTCCTTCCCCCTAAATAACTTTCTACATTTAGTTTTTATTTTTGTTTCTTTGAGAGAGTTTTGGAGAGTCTAATTTGCAGAAGGTCATACTACCCAAAGATTTCACCCTCATTTAGTAAGAGCTTTATGATATGTGATTGAAGGTTTCCCATAGGCGTAAGCTCCTATGGTTACTTGCCTCTCCCGGTAACGGGAGAGCACTTTGATTAAAGCTAGTCACTAAGAATTGAATATTCAACATATAATAACAACATACTTAGGATTGAAGTTGTAGAATTCATCACTTAAAGCTTAAAGCGAATGGTGAGGGAATGAAGATGAAATCCAATCAATATCCCATGGTTTCGTCATATCGGGCCTTCGTGGTCCCTGATCTACATAGTTAGAGGAGATAGTCGACCCAACCTGATAGAATGATTCTTGTTAGCAACTACGGGTTGCTTCGTTCAAGAGATCCTTGTAGATCTGGGATGAATGTTTGTCTAGGGGACTAATTTAAGTCGACCTTGTAGAAGGTTTTATGCCAATCAGTTATACTGTTGTGATTCACAACTTAAACGGTAGAAAACCATTAGAGAACATACGGGCTGCGACCATGACCGTAATATAATGATGTCATTTGGCGGCAACCACCCGGTCAGAGAACTCTGGTCGTATCCGCTATTTTGCGGTGCCATTTGACAGCAGAACCACACGGGCCATATCTTTACTGACACGTAATTATTTTGATCGTGAATATATTGATACCTTTGATATAACATTCACTCTTTGTGAGTTGAAATCAATCAACAATTTGTGACTCTCGACAAACTTTGTGGAAGGCAGATAAATTTTGCTTTTAGCTTTTAATTGATTGAATTTTACTTATTAGTTGGTTATTTTGAAAATCTTGTTTTTAAAGATTAACCCTTCCTGTTGAAATCTTAGATCAACAGGACCCATCGGGGATTTGAATATTTTAAAGCTTTTCATATTTGAACCGGAATATTTAGTTTTATTAGTTTAAGTTTTTTAGAGTATAAGTCCCGTCGGCTTCTATCCTTATATGTAGGAGAATCGGACTATGTGATTTGCCCTTGTAAATTTCTATTTTAGAATTTGAACGCATTCAGAAAGTATTTTTGAAATTTAGGTGCCTTGAAATTATTCAAAATTTGAAATATTCTAAAAAATGTTCTTGCGTTTACATAAATATATTTGGAGCTTAAAAAGGTCGCATTCTGTTCGCAAGCAGACACATTGAAATTTGGTGGAGAGATTTGACATATTAATTCTTCATTTAAACATTTAAAAATAATATTTGTGTCTTAAATTTAATCCAAATTTATGATATTCAAAATTTAATTCAATTTGTCAACTCTCTCAAGCTTCGATCCAATCAAGCTTTGCCCCAATTTTTGTTTTCAAATAGATCACATAAAGATTCATTTACATGATTATATGTTTTTTATTTAATCTTCTTCAAATATGATCGAATTTGAAGCCAAACAGAAGTCCAATTATATTAATTGACGCATTCAATTTTTCTTGACTCTTATGCAAGTCTCAAGTGCATTTAATTTATCTTCTTGAAATGACTTCAATTACAGCTTAAATATTACTTTGCATTTTGTAACATGCATTTTCTTTTAGTTTTATGTAATTTTTAAAGTCCAAACAATCCATATTTTTATATTATTTATAGTTTTAATATTACAAAAAATTTTGGTAGCCTCCCGACATCAACCTGTGTTAGGGGGCACGGGAGAATGTCAGCCTTCCCAACTATCTTACAAGATGCGTTGCTTAGTACCGTGAGACACTGCTGTCGGGGAGCAAAAAAGTAAATTTAACCTGCGATATTAAAAAACGCAATATGTCTTCAATGTACCTACGCAAAATATTAGATCACAAACCAGTATTTTCTGATTGGTACTTTACTTTTCCCGAATAGTACTCAATTCTCATGGACAGGTACTTGCTTTCCCACAATCAGGTGTTTTAAAATCTCAATTTTAAAAGTTTTTCCAAATGAGTCTGCATTTTTTCCCCAAATGGTACTTAATGTCCTACAAACGGGTATTCATGCTTCCTCGAATGGATATTTTGAAAGTTACCTTATTATCCCAATATGTTGTACCTTTCCGAATGAAGCTGAGACAAAGTTGACAATCACTATCCATGATGACAGCGAACAACAACAATAAAATAAATAGGACAATAAGATTTTTTTTTCTAAATTATACACATCATAAGGTACTTAATAATAATTTGGAGACGGGAGGCCTGCTTAGGGATTAGGGATGTCAAAATGGCTTGTTGTTTGCGAACAACTCGTGTTCGGCTCGTTAAGAAACTCATGTTCGATTCGTCCACTAAGTTAACGAGCCGAACACGAATACTTTTTTGGCCTTCGCTATATAAACGAGCTAAACACGTCACTTTTTAGTATATCAATAAATATACTACTGATCAATATATATATATATAATTGATGAGTAATATTTTTAAAAAAATTAATTGACTACAAGGCTATAAAGATTTATAATCAATTAAAATTATTAATTAAAAAATAGAATAAAAATATATTAAATTATATTTAAATGGTGTTTTAATATAAATAATAATATTTAAATCTTCCCAACCTCTAACATCGTACGATTGCGTGATTAGGGTTGTCAAAACGACTCTTTGCTCCTGAACAACTTGTTCGGCTTGCTAAGCAAACGAGCCGAATAAGAACTCACTTTTTGTATTCGAACTGTAAACAAGCGGAACAAGAACAATGATATATGCTTCTTTTTTTATTTTGTTATTTTTTGTCTTATTCTTTTTTTTTAAATAATAAATATTTTAGAGGTCAACAAGCATTCCTTGGAAGAGATATGTTGTTTGGGACTAATAATAAAGAGTTATTCATGGTTTAAGTGTTTATGCAAATGCATTCCTTCTTTTAAACTTAATTATTGAAATTAATTAGATATTTAATGTCGGTAATGCAGTTTTGGCAATATCTATTATTATTTAAATGATTCAATTTAGCCAATTTCTGTTTCTCATTGGCCATCAACCCAATCAAACCCGGTAATAAATGAGCTAAAAATTGTGGACCAAAATAAATTGAAGTAAACATGAAATGTGATACCAATTTATGTAGTTCACTCACATTTTCTAATGCCAATGGATGGAAATGGAAATTGGCCCCTTTTAGGTCTTTTGTTCATATAACCAAAGGAAATGAAAATTCTCAGCAAATTAGATTTAAATTTATGTGAATCTGTATAATTAAAAACTTTTGAAGCTTTGATAATCAATGCCACCTCTTCTAAATTTGTACGTAAATTTGTAGGGTCTTTAATTCTTAATTATAGTTGTATTTCCGTTATTCATAGGATTTTTTATGCATGAAATTTCATTATTTATTATTTGTTTTTGAAGTTACAATGAATTCAATGGAAGATTACTATACCCTTATTTCGCAGGCTTGTAACAGGAAATTAGTTTGAACTTTAATGGTAGGAGGCATTGATAAGTCGAACTGAAATATATTTTTTGGGTCATTTATGTACCACCCAATTCATATGCATTTATATATCTAACACCTAAACTTTATTTTTTACATTTATTAACACCCAAATCATTCATATTACATAAAAAATATGATCATTTTAACTTTAAAAAAATGAATTAGGCCTTTTAATGCATAGGTAAGGTAGTATATATATGTGAAAATTGATGTTTAGGTGTTAAATATGTAAATATATAAGAATTTAGTGGTATGTTTGTAAATCTTCCAAATTTTTCTTGGCATGACAAGCGTCGGTGATACTGGAGTTTGCACAAATCACAATAGGAAAAAGATATATTATTACCGAAAACAAATAGGCGGTTACGATCAACACACTGGAAAGGAACAATGCAACAACAAGACTCGAAAATTTGAAATAGCAACAGACACGACACAAATAATTAAGCTATAATGGAGCCTTGGGGTCTTCGTGGTGATCAACAGTCTTTGGAAAGGTGACGACAAGGTAGAGGTGGCTAGGTAGATGAGGGCCTAGACTTTGGGGAAATGATGACAAAACAATGGTCGATGGCTGTCCTGGGCGGCAACACACAGGAAAGAGCGGAGACAGCAAGAGGACGGGAAGACAAGCGGCAACACCTTGCTGTTTGGGTGGCAGCAGCAAGGTAGGCTGGTGGACAGCAAGGAACGGCAGGTCAAACAGCAGCAGTTTGCTGTTTGGGGGTGGCAGCATCAAGGTAGAGGGGTTTTGGGGCAAATGTGAGGGTTGAAATCTGGTAGGCATGGCTGACACAGCAGGGTAATGATAAGAGCAAGTGGTAGGGACAGCTGAGGGTGCTGGAACGGGTAAGGACAGAAACCTGTCGCTGTCTGGGATGTCGGCAGCAAGCCGAAACACGGATGGCAGCGGCTAGAAGATGGGAAAACTGCAGGGAAACAGGCAGCAAACGGCTGTTCGTGGGAGGCTACAGTAATGGAGGGCGGCCAGAAGCGATGCGGGGAGGATATGGAAGGGAATCGGGAAGATAATCACCACCTAAGGGGATAGATACAACCGGAACATCACCCAATCCCTCGGATACAACCCTCAAAGGGCGAAGAACGGACGCCGACGGCTGTCCTAAATAAAACATACGAAAAATTGACATCAAAATTTTAATACAACAAATATATAGGAAAATACTACAATGGAATTAAAGATAGTAGGAAATAAAACATAAGAAAGGAAAGCGGGATTATTTCGGCATGTCTTCCGCGATATATATTTCCACGGTGTTGTAGCAGCTACAGTACCGCGTAACACAATAAGCTCCCTCATCAATCGATCTAAATTTTGGTCCTCTTGGTGATTCAAGTTTCCAATCCATGCTATCCTTGAGCTATTGCAGTCTGTCTTCAATAGTTATTAAGCCATTTTCATAAGCATATTGCTTATGATTAGCATAGTTTTAATGTTTACCATATATTTTGTAAACTTTTATTTTTTACTTTGTTTAATCTTTTTTGTATGCTTCCTTCAGGTTGTTCCGCTCCAGTTCTTGCATGCTCTTTTATGCTATTTAGGAGACTCATATGACAATGATGTTTCATCTGGTCTGATATCACCTTTGGCTTCTCGTCCCCCTTCATATCCTGGGATTGATGCTCCCTCTGAAGGGCTTGTCAGGTGGCAGCTACGCTTGGAGTATTTTGCTTATGAAAAGCTACAGGATTTGAGAATTGGAAAACTTTTTGAAATTATTGTGGATTACCCTGACAGGTTGTGAGCAGACTTTTCTTTCTTACTTTTATAAACAAAAGGTTTTGAATTATATTAAGATTTTTACATATACTATACATCTTTGAATCATGTTGTTTCCCTATTTTTATGTTATGTATACAATGGCTGGCTCTTTTCAGTTCCTTATTTGATGTTTTACATGGATAATTGATCTTTCTGCGGCTTCGTATTTTCATGTTACACTCATCTTATTGACTTTTGACTTCTTAGAGGGATGAACTTAGTAATCTATATAGGCATATCCTTGTTGATTTTTTCCAATGTATAGATCCAAATAAATTCTCTTGATGCATGTAAATTAATTTTTTTTTGAAATAGTCTATTTAGTTAATCACACGGCTCTTCACTAAATTCTGTCACTTGACTTGTGACAACTAATCGTTAACATCATCATAAGCTTTATTCCAAATGCTTGGGATCAATGAAGAATTTTTGAATTCTCTTTTATCATTCATTTCTATCGAGTGCTACATATGGGTCTAGTTTTATTTTGCGTAAGTTGTTGTCATGTTACTTTTGTTCTAACCTTTTTTTCCTCCTTAATCAATCCATCTTAGTTCTATCTACTTATTTTTTTGGTTCATCTTCTTTCCTAAGTTATGCATATTCAAGCCTTCTAAACATATTATCTGTTATGTTAATTTCAATAAATGCCACTCCCGCTTTCCTTCTAGTATGGCTATTTCATAGTATATTAAAAATATCACAAGTGTATTCCAATTTATAAAAGCTAAAATAGTTGTATCTTTTATGTGATATTAAATATTTTTAAGATGACACATATATAAAAGTAGAGCTTAGGTGTTAGAAATGTAAATACATAGGTATTTGGTGGTAGGTATGCAAAGCTTCCCTTTTATTATTATTTTTTAATTTTCCTACTCCATCGTTTTTCCTCTCCCTCGTTCTGCAGAAAGGAGAGGAAAATGGGGAAGCGGGGAGAGGTGCGTCTGTGTTATGGAGAAGCGGAGAGTACGAAGCGGAGAGGAGCAATCTTCTCAATATCTTCGAGTTAGAGAGACGACGAGGAATCAGATTGGAGATGGGCGGCGCTGCAGATATTGGCGGCGCTACAGATGGGGAGCTGAAGGAGATCGACATCAAGAACCTCAGCTGAGGGTCGAGAGAAATGTTAAGGAAGGTGGAGACTCGGTCCACTTCCTTGAATTGGCGACCTCGGCACTTATGGAAATTATTTAAGTTTATTTCCTTATGTATTTTTGTTCCCTGCTATAGCTTGATGCTTCCCTGTTTTTATTTAAAACAGTTGCCTTTTATTGACATGAAGAATTAAGGAAAACTTTATTAATTAATTAAGCTTTATCAAATTAATCTCCCGCCCCTCCTGTTGCTATAGAGAAAAAGGCAATGAATTTGATAGCTTGCCTTAATGGACTTTATATGGGTCATTAAAGCATGATTCCATGTTTTCTCTATGGAATCACGAAATTAAGGGTTACCAAAGTAAGTTGGATACTGGGAAGCTTTAAAAGGGGCTCACGATTACAGGGAAGTGTATTACTCTCCAAACAACTTTCTCTCATTGGATTATACTTTGTCGTGAGACTGAAATAAAAGAATCACAAGGAAACTCTTCTTTAAAGTTGTCTTTCTTCTTCTTGGTGTGTCTCTCAGTTTAGAGAGAGAGAAGGTGAGGAGAGAGAGAGAGAGAATTCTTTCTTGTAAGTCGACGTGGTCGACGATGTAATCCTAAAAACTAATAAAATCCTCTGTAGCTCCGTGGACGTAGGCAATTTGCCGAACCACGTAAATCTTGTGTCGCCTTTTTTGGTGTAATTTTTCTAGATCTGTTTTTCGCTTTATTGCCGTCGTTTTTTCCACAACAACTGATATCAGAGTCTTGGTTCGAGGCTGAAAGAAAACGATGGGTGGAGACGAAGTGATGGCATCGGGGATCGAGAAGTTCAAAGTCACAGATTTTAGCTACTGGAGGATGCAGATAGAGGACTACCTCTACGAGAATAAACTTCATCTGCCGTCGCTGGGAAAGAAGTCGGAAAAGATGGACGAGGCGGAATGAAATCTGTTGAATCGACAGGTTCTGGGGGTTGTTTGATTAACCCTGTCAAGATCCGTTGCTCATAATGTCATCAAGGAGAGAACTACTGTAAATCTCATGGCAGCTTTATCAGGCATGTATGAAAAGCCATCAGGGAATAATAAGGTGCACCTGATGAAAATTTATTTAACCTGAAATGGCGGAAGGTGTTTCTGTTGCTCAACTCCTGAATGAGTTCAATAATATCACTAATCAATTGTCATCTGTTGAAATTGATTTTGATGACGAGATTCGTGCGCTGATATTATTGGCTTCATTGCCAAATAGCTGGGAAGCCATGAGAATAGCAGTTAGCAGTTCTGCAGGTAAATCTAAACTGAAATATGATGATATACGTGATTTGATTTTGGCTGAGGAGTTGCGCAGGAAAGATTCTGGCGAGACCTCGGGTTCGAGTTCGGCACTGATTGTTGATTCTAGAGAGAAATCACGGGACATGAACTCAAACAGAAGAAGATCAAAATCAAAGTCTGGTCAGCAGACAATCTGCTGGAATTGTGACAAGACTGACCACATAAAAAGGAACTGCATGAATCTCAAGAAGGAGAATGATGACGTTAATATTGTAAATGAAGAGATACATGATGCGCTATTATTGACAGTTCAAAGTTCTGTTGATGACTGGATTCTAGATTCAGGTGTTTCCTTCCATACATCTTCCTACCGGAAGTTAATGCGGAACTATGTTGCAGGTAATTTTGGGAAGGTATATCTGGCTGATGGAAAAGCTCTAGATGTGGTGGGGATAGGAGACGTTGATATTGCACTCGCTAATAAGAGTAAATGGACTTTGCAAAAAGTCAGGCACGTTCTTGAATTGAAGAAAAACCTCATTTCTGTTGGGCAGCTCAATGAGGGTGGTCATTCAATAGTGTTCTTAGATAATACCTGGAAGGTGACTAAATGAGCATTAGTACTGGCTCGGGGTAAGAAAACTGACACACTATATATGACTACAGGTTTACTCAAACGTGAACACATGAGCCAGAGGAGCATTATGGAGAAACAAAAGAAAGTCAGTTTCTTAAAAAGTGGCAGAGCGCCAAAGGCAGTAAAACTGGATCCTGTATGGACAGATAGTGGAGAACCACAAAGCTATGAAGAAATCTTGCAAGATGAAAGTTCGAGCAAGTGGGAGCTGACAGAACTTTCACCAGGGAAGAAGACATTGCATAACAAGTGGGTGTACCGGGTGAAGACTGCGCTTGACAACAGTAAAAGGTTCAAGACTGGACTTGTTGAAAAAGGTCTGCAGTTGAGGCTGAATATTGCCCATGTAGTGAGAGTTATAAGTAGAATCATGAGTAACCCAAGAAAGAGCTTGGAGGTACAAGGCTGTGTTGACGGTGATATGTCAACTAAAGTTGTTACTCTTGAGAAACTGAAGTTGTGCTCGACTTCAGTTCGTCTTCTAGCTTGAAGACAGAGGTTTTGAGTTGCAGAGGTGAAGTATATCACGTTTGAGGATAAGGTTGATGCAGCCAGCAAATAATGCAGTCAGTGTCCTAGTCTCCAAGTGGGAGAATTGTTAAGGAAGGTGGAGACTTGGTCCACTTCCTTGAATTGGCGACCTCGACACTTATGAAAATTATTTAAGTTTATTTCCTTATTTATTTTTGTTCCATGCTATAGCTTGATACTTCCCTGTTTTTATTTAAAGCAGTTGCCTTCTATTGGGAAGAATTAAAGAAAATTTAATTAATTAATTAAGCTTTACCAAATTAATCTCCCGCCACTCCTGTTGCTATAGATAAAAAGGCAATGAATTTGATAGCTTGCCTTAATGGGCTTTATATGGGTCATTAAAGCATGATTTCATGTTTTCCCTATGAAATCAAGAAATTAAGGGTTACCAAAGTAAGCTGGATACTGGGAAGCTTTAAAAGGGGCTCATGATTACAGGGAAGTGTATTACTCTCCAAACAGCTTTCTCTCCTTGGATTACATTTTGTCGTGAGACTGAAATAAAAGAATCACAAGGAAGCTTTAAAGTTGTCTTTCTGGTGTGCCTCTCAGTTTAGAGAGAGAGAGAAGGTGAGGAGAGAGAGAGAGGATTCTTTCTTGTAAGTCGACGTGGTCGACGGTGTAATCCTAAAAACTAATAAAATCTTCTGCAGCTCCGTGGACGTAGGCAATTTGCCAAACCACATAAATCTTGTGTCGCCTTTTCTGGTGTAATTTTTCTAGATCTGTTTTTAGCTTTATTGCCGTCGTTTTTTTCACAACAAGAAACGGTCGAGAGAAACGGGCGAGAGGGAGCGAAGTGTCAAAATTTTTTTCTGAAACTCAGACCGCGGGGTTCGACTCGCGGTCTGCGTTTAATGTAAAATCTAAATGCCGTTTTTACAACCATTGCCTGAACGCTCGATCCAGACACTAAGACGTCGTTTTCAAAATGCCACCGCATATGATAAGCTGCCCCAAACACACCCTTAATGTTGGGCTTGAGCTTACCTCGCATACCGCACTAGTGCATGATTGTTCAGATGCACGAAGCCTTACAAGCTATTTTTGATGATTTATCAACTAAAAATCATTTCTAGTGAGTCTTAATTCTTTTGTTATGCCCACCATAAAATGACAGTTGATGCATATTTGTGGACATCTGAGCTATAGATAAAATTATAATAAAATATCAACTTCCAATTATTTTGGTTGGAAAATGAATGGAAGAGAACTTTTAAAAGAAGAGACTTTCTTGAGTGGCATTTGATGCCTCTGGTTCGTGTAATATGCCGAATACTTTATGCATTTGATGAGCTGGATGATGAAATCTTTCGTTGCCCAGTTTGTTGTGGCATGGTTTTGCAACATTCTTTTCTATACCATGACTAAGGAATAAAATCTAAAAAATTCAAGGCAGATCTTGGGGCGTTTAGAATATTATAGCAAATTGTTTCTTAACCTAAAGAAATACATCTTCCGCACCAATAGGTATTTTTTTATTTTTATTATTAATTTTTGAGGCATCCATATGGAGTAAATGAAGGTTTGCAAAATCTAGGATTGGTCCATGCTCACTGCCATTTAGACGACACAAAGTTTACATGGTCATGTTATTTTTTGTCATGGCTTTGCAATTCTTTTGCAACACATATTATCAACCGCTTTTAGAAAAGCTAATTTAATTAGAGCGCCATAAACTGTTTTTGAAGTTGATGCTTATGCAAATTGCCTTGATTTCGGAAAAAAACAGACATCCTGATGAGTTTTTAGTAAAAGAATTCAAAATAAGAGAAAAGTGTACTACTTATTTTCAAGACTTGGATTCTATTATAAGAGCTTCACTACACTGGGAATGTTATCTCAAACAAAATGAATTTATTTTGCATAACAAACACTAATCTCTTAGATACATGAATTTGTGAAAAGTTCCTTTCTTGTATGCATCCCCAGTGGACTTGCTTTCTTCAAAAATTCACTTTTCTCTTCAAACACTGTGAGTCGTTTTAGTTGAGTGATTGAAGCTTTGAGTGGGAGGGCCACCCTCCTTACTATTTTGCAGACCTGTGCTTGTGAGATTTGATTCTTTAAGGATATGTTTGTTGATGATGTAGATTTCAATGACATATGGGGAAATTCCTTCAACACAATAGTATCAATGATTTTCATGCAACGGGACTTTTGCTACAAGAAAACCAATATGCATTCTAGAGATGTTTATGTGAGAGTTCGTAATACATGGTTTATATTCTGGTGGACAATAACCCTTCTTTTATGTCTACACTAAGGTACATAACTTTGTAGATTTTTGGATTGAGTCGACTAAAAATTTCACATACAAGAATGTTGACTAACTAGCTGTGCATGTGAAATAACTCTATCAAGAAGTTGGCAAAAACCTGAAAAACCAAGGTTAACTAGAAACGACAGTTGATCAACATCTTCTCACGCCTCACAAACACTTGTATCTCACTATTATGTCCCAAAGCTTCAATTTAGAAAATAGGTTCATTCCTAGTAAAGAAGTAGCTTGGTGCTCATTTATGTATTATAGACATTTCCGACCATTTGAAGATCTCCAAGACTTTCAATTTTAGATGTATTTTTTAACGCTTTGCATTCAATACAACTATCACTATTGACCTGGACTCGAGATCGAGTTCTTTAGAAGACATAGGAGGTTGATGCAACAACAAGCTTATTTCGGTTACCTAGCAGCTCATTTTAATCTTTCTTTGGCTTATGCTATTATGCCATGTGGGGTTCTATTGTTTTGTTTCTTTCTCTAGTTTGCTTTTTTATTTTCATTTATTTTTCCCAGTTTTCAAAATAATATTGTGTCCTTGTTAGCAGTATTTATTACAAAACTATTGGATGAAAGAATAGGGCTAATTTTTTGCTTCTATAATATCTAAAAAAATAGTGAAGGAACTCTCTATTTTTATACTACATCAAAGGCTGGTATCCTCCGCCCTTTATTGAAGTAGCACTTCATCTTCTTTCTATGCTTTTTTCTCTCTCTGATTGCATGTTACTTGTAAGACACGCTTTTTTAGTCTCCTGCTTTTTTACTTTAAAAGTCATTGTATCATTTTTCTCGTTCTTTTATATAAAGGATCTGCATTCCTTAATCCTATCACAGCTTGATATTACTTGCTCTTGTAGCAATGTAGCATACTTGGCAATATAACATTCACTATATGACATATCATGTTATTTTTTCCTTTTCATGTTTTATTATTCCTAGACCTTCTATTTTCTAAAGCTTCTCGTCATATCATTTTTTGTGCTGTATAAGATGCATAAAACTTTCATAGATGTCATCTATAGATACTAAATTGCACGCTCCAATGTGCATCTTAGACAATACAACAAGATACAATCTTATTCATAAACCTTCAATGTACTTTATTTTGATTGAAAAATTCTTTGATCATATGATGACTACTAATAATGCTAGTAAAATTCAGCATAAATCCATACGATGTTGGTTAGTGGGTTAAGTTATGCTTTGTTACAACATGGAAGTTGAGCTGGAGCTTTTGTTTTATAATTTAGTGTTTTTTTTCCTCCTACTTTTCAAGTTGAGCTCCTTTTAACCATCTATAGATGAAGTCCACAGACTGAATTTTTGCTCTATCGGAGTTCATGCAGCTCTCCAGCCATTGAAGATCTAAAACAATGCTTGGAGCATACTGGACAACATTCAAAACTTGTTGATTCATTTATTTCTTCATTGCGATATCGATTGCTTACAGCTGGTGCTTCAACTAATGACATACTGCATCAATATGTTTCAACCATTAAAGCCCTCCGAACAATAGATCCAACCGGTGTATTTTTGGAAGCAGTAGGAGAGCCAATTAGGGACTATTTGAGGGGAAGAAAGGACACAATTAAATGTATTGTTACAATGCTTACTGATGGAAGTGGGGTAAACCCGAGTGGAACAGGCAATACTGGTGATAGCCTCCTTGAAGAATTAAATAAAGAGGCCGAAAACCAAGAGACTGCTGATACTGATGAAGATATTAATGTTGATGACAAGCAAGCATGGATTAATGCTGAATGGTATTTTTTTTCTTTTTAATTGTTTTAAAAAAAGGAAAGTTTACATACCCAGCACACAATTCTTTTGTATTTACATGTCTCACACCTTAACTTTCATATTTACATTTTTACACACACACACACACACAGATATATATATATATATATATATATATATATACTTACATACATACATGTACATATCTATATCTATATATATATTTAGCACTTTTGTTTTCTGAACCTATTTATGAAAAGGTGTTTTTGACTTTTAAAAAGTGGTAATAGTGATATTTTTTATGTGTTATTAAGGATTTGAATGCAATGTGTGTAAAAGTTTAGGTGTGAGACATAAGAATTGTGTGCCGTTTATATAACTGACCCTTGAAATAAATTCTACCGGTAGTCTTTATCAAATTTGCTATTTTCTGCATTTTTGTTGTTGACACTAACAACTTTAGATGCTTGGTGTTGTTTTTCAGTTGGGAACCTGATCCATTAGAGGCAGATCCACTGAGAGGCTGCAGGCAAAGGGGGAAGATTGACATACTTGAAATGCTTGTCAGCATAATTGGTTCAAAAGATCAGCTAGTTAATGAATACCGTATTATGTTAGCTGAAAAGCTTCTTAACAAATCTGATTATGACATTGACTCAGAGATACGAACTCTAGAACTCCTTAAGGTTGGTTCCTTTTTTGTTTAATGAGGAAATGTGAAAATGATCCGGACTCTTTGTCAGGGGCTATTTTAGTCCTAGAGTCTACAAAAGTTTCAATTTAGTCCCAAACTCATATTAAAAGAGTATGGGGACTAATTTGACACATTTATAGCCTGGGACTAAAATACCAATATAAGTAGTCAGATGACTATTTTAATATATTGATCGAGGAAAGGAACATGTACATCTGTACAACAGGAAAGTGAAGGCATAATGTGAAATTTGTAGTACCTGAAATTCCTTGTTTTAGTATTTTACTCTTAAGCTGACTTTACATGTACCATCTGATCAGATACACTTCGGAGAGAGCAATATGCAGAAGTGTGAAGTAATGGTTAATGATCTCATCAGTTCCAAGCGGATGAATGCTAATATCAAGGCATCCAAATCTCAGCTTGCTGTGAATGGTATAAGCTTTCTTATTAGTGTAACTGCTAATTATTTATTGCTTTGTTTTTTGGAAATTTACATACATACCACAAAATTTCTTTGTATTTACATATCTAACACCAAAAGTTTGATGTTACGTTTAGAACACTTTGGTGTCGTGTGCATGCGCATGTGGATCAAAAGGTTTTAAAAAGTTAGTAGTAATTTTTATGTGATAATAAAGATTAGAGTGTTATGTATATAAATATGAAAGTTTAGGTATTAGATATGTAAATACATAAGAATTGTGTGGTATGTTTTGTGAATGTCCCTTTATCTATTTTCTTTTATTGTTTTTCATTCGTTCCTAGGTTCTGAGCAAGAAAAAGCCTTATCTCTGGATCTTGTTGATGCCACAATAATTTCTTCAAACTTTTGGCCTTCAATTCAGGTAACGAGTCTCAAATAATGATTACCTGCATTTTTGGCTACTTTAAAAGAACTTCTCGAGGAATTTATGATAGAAATAATAATAATAATAATAATACAACTTCTACATTCTATGTTATTGTCCAGCTTTCGTTAACTCTTGAGTGCTTTTGTGAGTATAGTGTCATGCCCTGCCATCTTCTTCAAGGAAAAGACAAGACAAGCATGGGACTGAAAATTCTAGAAGAGGCTTGCATGGCAAGAACCTTCTAGAGCCAAGAAGGTAGAAGAGAGTTCCACACAACTCTAGAAATTTCTACCCAATTTCAGAGATTAAAGGAAGACAATACTCCATGAAGAATTCATGGATGGAGCATGGAGAGTTCAAGAAGAATCTAGAAGGATCTAATATTATGTATTTATGTAAAAATTGTATGGAATAAACTTGAAAGTAGGGAATTCTAGAATATTCTTATGGATTAGAGGGGGACTATAAATAGAGGTCCCTCACCTCATTTGTAATCACCTCAACATTCAATCAAAGCTTCCAAGTATTCAAGTGTGAAGTGTTCCTTTCTCTTTACCATTCTTCTTTAGAGTGCTTGGTGCTCACAAGTCCAAGCGTTGTGAGAATTAGACTGATTTTGTGCTAAAGGAGAGCGTTAAAACCACACGGGTGACTAGAGCAAAGTTAGTCCGTAACAGTTGGTATCAGAGCCTTGGTTCGAAGGAATATCAAAAAGCATCAAAGAGCACGTGATGGAGTCAGAAGCCACTAATGTGGGCAAAGAGCACCCAAGCCACATGGGAAGTCCAAGGAGATCATGCATGACTTTGATTCATGCCTTGCTCGGATGGAGAAGACAATGAATGACATGGAGGGCCAAGTAGAGGATCTTTGCCAAAGGGTTGATGGACTTGAGGAGGAGGACGCCACCATCCATTCAATGATCAGAGGTATGATGCTCCAACTTGAGGACCTTAATGGGCCATATGGCTAGGTTGTAGGAGGATTTGTTGGGGAAACTCCAAGTGGTGCGAAGAGCCTATGAGGAGGAGATGGGTGATATGCGTGCTAGCTTGGAGATGTGTGGAGACATTTCGCTGTGCAAGAGGGCATTAGCGACATCCACAAACCATCCCACTTACAAAACCAAAAGGATTGAAGTAACAAAACCTATGAGTTTTGGTGGAGGGGTTCGCAACGCGAAGGAAGTAGACAACTTCCTATGGGGACTAGAGCAAATACTTTGGAGCGATGGGGATTGCCGATGAAGATGCAAAAATATAATTTACCTCTCTTTATCTCTCGGGCATCGCTATGCTTTGGTGGAGAAGAAGAAAAAGAGATGAAGAGAAAGATTTGTGCTCCGTGTCCACTTTCAATGACTTCAAGAGAGAGCTAAAG